AGCCACAGTGCTTTCAGGGGCAGGGGGTGATGGGCTCTAAAGGCTGGGGAGCCCTGAGCCCTCAAGGCAGCTGGGGCCCGTACCTGTCACAGGAGGGGGCACAGCGCAGGAGGCTGATGGCGACATCCGCGGGGTGTGCCTGGGTCAGTGCTAGAATGGTGTTATCCAGCACGTGCCCAGCAGACACATTGGAGCTCAGCCACCAGTGGATGGACCTCACCACAGCAGGCACCTGGAGGGGACACAGGGCAGAGTTGGAGAGCTGCCAGAGGGAGCAATTCCCCAGCTTCCCCTGAGAAGTGCTTCCCTTCCCACCACACTGTGCCAGCCTCAAGGACTGAGGGGCCCAGCACACCCAGCTTGAGGGCCCACACAATCCCTGCCCACAGGCTGCTTACTTGAGCAGGGACAACTCCCTCATCAAGAAAGGCCGGACTGGGAGCATCGGGCAGGCTCTGAATGGGTGTCCTGACAGTGGCTGCGATGCCCTCAGTCATTGGACTGTCAGCCTTGGCCTTGAGCTCGGTTGGGATGGGCTCAGGCCGTGCCATGACCTTGGCTGGTGAGGTCCTGGCCTTCCTACGCCGCACGGGCTTGGATTTCCGCACCCTCTGCAGGAGAACAAAGGGCAAGGAAGAGAGGGATGTGCCATGGTGAGCTACTACAGCGGTGCCAGGCTGAGCAGTGACAGCAGGCCCAGCCCAGGAGGCCGTGGCTGCAGGTACCTGTGATGCTCTGCGGAAGTGGCCACGGGTGCGGCCCTGCTCCTGTGTCCAGTCTCGTCCTGGATCTGGCAAAGAGCGAGCGCGGTCAGAGCTGAGGGGCTGCGGGACAGGCCGGAGAACACGGCCCAGCCCCAGCCTGCCCAGTGCATGGAGCTGCAGGGGATCTGCTTCAGGCTCTCGTCCCCTCTCCCTTTCCCTGGCCATGTCCACAGGAGATGGGAGGGCAAGAGGCCCATCTGGCTGTAGCCACCAGCCCTGTGGCCCAGCTGTGCCACTCACCCTCCGGCAGGGGCTGGAACTGCTCCACCTCCTCAGGGTGCTGTACCGGGGGGAATCCAGGGCTTTCCTCCTCCTTCTTCACCCACGCCAGCTTGGGCACCCTGGGGGGTCTCTGCTCCATGCTTCTCTCTGGCTTTATGATGACCTGCAGGAGATGTGGCACAGAAAAGCTCTGGATCACCTAAAAAGTACCTTGAAGGCAGTTGCAACAAAGGACTCTTGGGAATGCTCTGGGTCATCAAGTCCCACAGTCTGGCCTGGAGGGGACATGGGGCAGTTGGAGAGTTGCCAGAGGGACCAACTTGCCCACTTTCCCCAGAGAAGTGTTTCCCTTCCCACCACGCTGTGCCGGCCTCAAGGATGGAGGATAAAGGGGCCCAGCAGACCCAGCTTGAGGGCCCACAGAATCCCTGCCCACTGAATCCCTGCCCACAGGTTGCTTACTTGAGCAGAGATGAGTCCCTCAGAAAGAAATTCCACACTGGGATCATCGGCCAGGCACTGAGCGGGTGTTGTGTCAGTGTCTGCGATGCCCTCAGTCCCTTGGGGGTCAGCCTTGGCCTTTAGCACAGTTGGGTCAGGCTCAGGCTGTGCCATGACCTTGGTTGCTGAGGCCTTGGCCTTCCTACGCCGCACAGGCTTGGATTTCCGCACCCTCTGCAGGAGAACGAAGGGCAGGGAAGAGAGGGATGTGCCATGGTGAGCTCTGACAGAGGTGCCAGGCTGAGCAGGGACAGCAGGTCCAGCCCAGGAGGCCGTGGCTGCAGGTACCTGATCAACTCTGCAGAAGCGGCCACGGCCATGGTCCTGCTCCTGTGTCTGGTCCCGTCCTGGATCTGGCAAAGAGCGAGCGCGGTCAGAGCTGAGGGGCTGCGGGACAGGCCGGAGAACACGGCCCAGCCCTGCGCTCCACAGGCAGGGCCAGCCCCGGGATGCCCAGTGCATGGAACTGCCGGGGGATCAGCTCCAGGTCCTCCTCCCTTTCCCAGGACGTGTCCACAGGAGATGGGATGGCAAGAGGCCCATCTGGCTGCAGCCACCTGCCCTGTGACCCAGCTCTGCCACTCACCCTCCTGCAGGGGCTGGAACTGCTCCACCTCCTCAGGGTGCTCTGCTGGGGTAGCCACAGGGCTTTCCTCCTCCTTCTTCACCCACGCCAGCCTCGGCACCCTGGGGGGTCTCTGCTCCGTGCCTCTCTCTGG